TATGCAATAGATTCGTTGAATCAAAATAGTTTGAAATTAGTTCTTTCGTCAACATTGAGCAGTTTCTGAGATAGGTAAATGAAAATTTCCGTCTCGCCACTTCAGACGGCGCAGAGAAGAACAAATAAGGACGAACAAGCCGTCGGCAGTTAGCTTTCCTTTTACTTTCCCGTTTACATACGTATGTATAGAGAATTATACATAGTATAGGGAAAGTTATGTAATGCAAAAAATGTAATGAAAAATGAGCGGATTTTTGACAGAAAAAAAAAACATTGCCGGGACATGACACCGAAAAAATGATAAATTCAGTTGCTAAATTCAGAAAAGAATCCTTTAACACATGGAGTAGCCAGAATCCCTGTTTTGCGGGCCCTTGATATCGAAAAACCAATTGACGGCAAAACGTCCGTCCGTTGACACCGCTAGCTCCCATACGTATGATTTTTTCCAAAATAGATATTCCCCGGCCGATATGGCTTCACCGGACGCGCCGCGATTTTGAAAGAAAAAAAAACAACAACAAAAAACTTTATTCAAAATTTGGGTGATACTTTTCATGAAGCCCCTCGGACATTATCAAAATTTTCTCAAAAACAGCATTTAAGATAATGCCATTTAAACGCTACTTTAAATTTGAACTTCTTTTCACAGAAAACCAAGTTTTCTAAAAACTTCATGACGTCATCTCAAGAACTTCCAGTCACAAATGAAATAGTGTTTACAAATTGCTCAAAAAGAGTATATTAAAGCTGTTCTTTCAAAAAAATTATATTTGTATAATCTTTGGAAAAATATGAATACAGAAAAATTAATTCTATGTCATCTTAAACAGTGTAATTAGCACTATCTGTTTGAAAAGTCTGAACAAAACATTTGCAGCTCTTTTAAAGAAAATGGTAGTTTGAGCGTTTCTGAATAAGTGGAATTTTGAGCTCATTTTTGCAAATAATGTTTGCATTTTCGAGAACCTTTATCTCACATTATTTAAAGCACATAAACTCATAAATACATTAATTGCAGCTAATATAAATATTAACGGCGTGAGAGAAGAGTAAAAAATAACATTTTTGTAATTTTTGAAAAAACAAAAGAATAGAACAAAGTGGGGTTTCTGTCATCTAACAGTGCATTTATGACAATCCCTACCAAAGGTTAAAAAAAAAAAAAACATTTGGAGCCTTTTTTGAGAAATACTGTTTTTACATTTTTTAAATCGCACATATAGCTCGCAATATAGCGCGAAAACTACTAAAATGTTTAAAAAATATGTACATGACCTTAATGAAAGAACTCACTAAGAAGAACAAATTTTATTTGCAGTAAAAATCTTCAATTTTGTAGTTGAATGAAGACGCCCGAAATATATTGAAATTTTCGAAAATTCAGTTAAACCTGAAAATCTGGCCTATGGCACCTAAATAAGTATATTTTACTTCATTCTCGCAAGAAATAAAAAAAATCACACTTTTTTGAAAAAATCTTTGAAAATGTCCGGAGGGCTTTATGTGGAGTACCCCAAGTTTTAAAGACTTTTTTTCCAAATCTCAAAGATTCCACTCGAGCCAGATGGTCAGAGGTTTCATCAAATTGGAAAAAATCCTACGCATGGTTCAGGCGCTAGTGGTGTTCACAGACACCAGGCGGACGGACGTTTTGAAACTAACCAATTTTTCGCTATCAGGGGACCCCAAAACGTATATCTCGAGGTCCATTTTCCGCAGCATTACATAACTTTTCCTATACTACGTATACACAAAAGTAAAAAGGCACCTCCGTCACATTTAGCAAAATTATTTTTGTAATTATTTATTTCGCTTAATATATTTGTAAGCATTTCCATGCACTACAATAGATTTTAAAAAATCGTAAATTTACAGGAAAAGTTCTTCAGTAGCACCCGTTTTTTTAATTGTTAAGTACATAATTAGTAGAAGATTCTAGTATTTGAATTTCTGAGAAGGGAGGTGCGATGACGGACACTTTTTTTTTTTTTTTTGTTTTTTTTTTTGGCTTTGCTTTTTGCAATTTTTCGTGTTCATAGAATGTAATATCTCTGTTGAGGGACCAGATAAAATTTGAAATTATTGTACGTAAAAGATCGTAATGTATCAAACTTTATTATAAATTTCAACTCAGAGATTTGACTCAAATGGGTTTATAGAAAATCGCAAATTTACGCCAAAAGTGCTTCACTGGCACCGGCTTTTTAATTCTTTATAATTGAGTAACTTGTTTTATTTTGGTACATAATTAGTAGATGATTATAGACTAGTTGATTTTGAGTTTCTGGTAAAACGGGTTGCGATGGCATTTTTATTTTATACCACTCGCAATTTTTCGTGTTTGTGAACTGTAATATCTCTCTTGAGGAACCAAAAAAAATTGAAATTATTACACTCAAAAGATCAGTATAGTACCAAACTGCATTGTAAATTTCAAATTCGAAATATGACCCAAATGTTTTAAAAAATAGTATATTTACGCTTATTCTTTAACGGCAACCGTTTTTTAATTGTCTTAACACGTGAGGCAGCCAGCCTCCATTTTGTGGGTCCTTGGTACGGAAATTGACGGCAAAACATCCGACCGACCGTCCGTCAACATCGCAGTGCCTAAACCATACGTAAGATTTTTTTCCAAAATTGATAGTCCCCGGCCAATCTGGCTCCACTGGAGGACACACGATTTTGAAAAAACTTCAGCGTTTGGGGGGTACTTAACATGAAGACCCCGGGACATTCCCCAAATATTCTCAAAAACGACTCCAAATTTTTCTTTAAATTTCTTCTAAAAGTGTACATTAAACTTATAAAGTTGGCACAGGTTCGACTTTTTCGGGGTATTTATAAAACTTAAAATTGACAATTGATTCTTTTCCTTTAGATAAAATTTGTTCTCCGTAGTTCTTTCATTAATGTCACGTACATTTTTTTTTTTCAAAAAATTAGTAGTTTTTGCGCAGAATGTGCAATTTGAAAAATATCAAAAACCAGATTTGCTCAAAAACAGCCCTTTTTTTAAACTTTTGGTAGGGATAGTGCTAAATGTACTCTGAGATGACAAACACCAGTTTGTACGACACTAGTTTTTTCAAAAATTACAAAAACTTAGTTTTTACTTGTATCTCACGTCGTTTCAATTCACATTAGCGGCGATTTGTTCACAATAAATTTATGAGTACATGTGCTTTATATGTAAAAATTTCTCGAAAACAAGCCTTTTACTGTGAAAACAAGGTCAAAATTCCGCATTTTTAGAAACGCTCAAACGCCATTTTTCTCAAAAAGGCTCCAAATTTTTCGAACTGATAGTGCTAACTGCACTCTTCAAAACGCCGTAAAGTTTAATTTGGGGATATTTTTTGGTTATTTTCTTCTTCTAAAATTAAACAAACGTCTTTTTTTTTTAAAAAAAAAGCAGAACCATTTTTATCCACGCCGTTAATTGCACATTTCCAGCGATTTTATTTGAGAGTCAATGAGCTTCAAATTACATTCAAAGATGATGTTCGAAAACTTTTACAAAAAATAAACCAACAATTTTTGTGAAAATGAGCTTCAAATTTTGTATTTACAGTAGCTGTCTTATCTTAAATAATATAAATATTCTAATCTTAAAAACGGCTCAAAATGTTTCAAAGAAAATTGCCATTCAAGACTAGGTTTTACTGTTATTTATTATTGTCAAAATTATATTTCCGTTTTACTATTTGGAAACTGAAAAATTAACAAAATGTCAAAAAAAATTTGACAGCGATGGACAGCAGCTGGCAAAATTATGGGACAAGTCCGAATACCTACCCAAGATCAAAAGACATAAAAAAACGAACACGGGAAAATCTGTGCTATTCTGTAGCACCACTAGTTTTTAAAACTTCCGAGAAGCTTCATATAAAGTACTCCCCAAAATTAAAATATTGGTTTTAAATTCAAGTGGCCGTGACATCAGCCCGATCGACTGGGGGAATATCAATTTTTGAAATAATTTGCAGAATGGTTTACACAGTAGCGATGACCACAGATCACTCTTGGTCAAAGATGGTTTGCAGTCAATCAACATGTTGGTATCGAGTGCCCACAATACATGGATTTTGACTACACATGTCATAGGATGTTATCTGTTTTTGTTGAAAGACAGCCTCCTAGGTGGAAGAAACGAAATTTTACAATAAGGAAAATCTCATTTTGATGTTAATAATGTACAGTTGACTAAGTTTTGACATTTAAACTTCCTTTACAATAGTATGAAATATGTATTGTAATACTTTTCTGAATGTTTCTTACCAAAATTGTGGCTCTTGCCACATGGATCATCAGTACATTTTTTTATATTCCATTTTTAAACCACCATTTCTAATTTTCTTTGGAAATTTTCTCATCAAACTAAAGAGCAAGCAAATTCTGAAACATCGATTAAAAAATGTAAAAATTCCTAATTCCATCACATAGGAGGTTGTTGATCATTAATGACGATATGCAAGGCCAAGATTTATCTACTTTTTCATTACCAGGGCCCAGGCACCATTTTGCTGAAAATTCACCCTTCTTCTCCGCAGCATGACAGTACTTTCCCTACACTACTTAAGCAGTAGCATCAAAAATACAATGTGCAAGGGAGCATGGAAAGTTTTTCCCCTTAACAGAGTTGCAAGGGGACATGGCAAAAGAATGGGTTTGGGAACCTGTGTTAAGAGGAAGTAATTTAGTATATATAGGAACAGGATTTATTTATTTTTCACTACCATGACCCAGCAATAAGTTTCTCTGCCAAAGCACAATTACAATACTTTCCCTTCTAATGAAGTAAGTGCAAGAAAGTAAAATTTAAACACACCTCATAACCCATAAATGTTATAGCCCATCCCTTGCCCACACCAGCTTCAAGTTACGTAAACATTAGCTTCAAGCTTTATCTACTTTTAAAGAGCATTTCACATTAATCTCTCCTTAAAGCTTGTTCAACTTTAAATTAGAACAGTATAATGAGAAAAGTGTCTAAATACAATGAACACCATTTATCAAGATATATTTAGAATATATACCTGTATAATTTCTGTTATTTCAGATTAAAGAAAGAAAAAAAAAATGGGTATAAAGGAAGAGTAAAGAACGCTTGAGGATATTTTCTTTGTGCCTAGAATTAGCATTCTAATAATTGGCATATTCTTTTATTAACAAAAAATATTCAAGAACATCATTCTTCATTTATTTCTCTTTGGTAAAAAATATTTAGTTCTATACCGTGGGAATTCCTCCACATATATTACACTTACTCAAAATAAAGGCAAAGAAGTCACAGACTGGTTCTGCCTCATGAAAAAGGTCACAGCTTGATTCAGAACTGCTTCAAATTGTTCAAATTGTTTTTTGCCATGTTCAAGTTGTTGCCTGAAAGAAATCACATGAAGAACATTCTTAGAAAGTACACATGAATGACAATGCCAAGTGCATAAACCTTTGCTACCGACCATTAAAAATAAATAAATATTACAGAAGGAAAAACAGGCACCGAATCAGTTTTATGAAAGAAAGGTGCGACACAATTTTCTCCATGACAAAACACTTGAAAAGAGTGTCCCCCAAATGACAAAGAACTACCTTTTGTGTACATGTTCTTTCACTGAATAAACTACATTAAAATGTTCTAATTAACAAAGAGAACAATGGCAATATTATTTAATCTGCCTGGTGTGGGGGTTGCAATAAGTAAGTGCTACATAGACATACTATAGTCATACTGTTCAATATTTTTAAAAAAAGTTGTAACAACACAAGTATGATACATGAAAAGTTCCCTTGTGTGCTCTAGCACAATATGCTAAAGAGTCCAAACATTTGTTTAATTTTGATGATACCCAAGATTCTTGACAAAGAATCTAATCATAAGAAAAGGTTATTTAAAAAAATGTTACAACATAGATAAGCTCAGCAGTGCCTACGTTAACATTACCAGGTAAATTATTGTTGACATGTAACATTGTTATACTTAAAATTACTGACTAATTTTGTGAATGCTTGTAGTATATTAAAGCAGCATGAGTCATTAGAAATGTATTTTAATGACTATCAACATAATGGTTCATTTATATAATAAATCAAACAATATGTTTTCTCTTATTATTGCCTAGCTATAATGTTTTGTTAAGATATAATTGTTTATATACATGTCTGCAAATTTCAATAGATTGTTCATGTGATGTAAATTATGTACTGGTTATTCTAGGTAATTATTAATAATTTTGATTTGAGACATGCACATGACACAATGCACATAAATGTTGTAGAATTGTTGTTTTTATTCAGTAAGTACAGATATAAATGTTGTCTGATTGTTCACATATTTTTAAGTACTTCCAGTTTGCATAACTTTTTTAACATGGATTTTTTTAAAATCTATGGTTTCACCAGACTAAATAGGTTTTTCAAAGAATTAGTATAAAATATTTTGATGCTGACTGTGAGTTTACTGTATAAACAAACCAAAGCACTTGTCAATCTTTTCTGCTAATTACATGTAGTAAATATGCAGATAATTAAATCTCTGCTTAAGTTTTTCCAATAACTGTATAATGAAACATGAAATGCTACCACAGAAAGTTTATGTTATGCATCAGCAGAATAAAGCATACGTACCTTGAATTAGTTTGTGAGCAATACATTAAAACATGTTGTGGCAACAAAACTTCTCCTAGTTCACTCCATGTAGAAAGAGATTCTTTAATAGTGTTATAAAAATTTAGGAGAATTGGACTATTTTCCTGCAATTCACTTGGTGGACAGAATAATATCCTGAGGAATGTTTATTTTATTAGTATTGGCAAATAGTTTCATATTCTTTCTCTCTATTATTACATTCATACAATATTACCCTTCCATGCAGCGCAGCAATGTGCTCACACATTTGACAAAAAAGAGCATATTCTGATGCAGAGTTTCTACAGCAGGAAATGGTTCAGGTGGTTGATATGGCACACAAGGTTCCACACCCATTACATCACACAGCATACCACTACAAAGAAACATGAATGGAAACAAGAATGTTCAAAACTATTTTTAGCAAAGTAGAAGAAAAATGAAGACTATGAGAACATTCTACCTCATCTTCACATAATGAACCTCGATTAGACAGCATGCAGTAACAATGTAGGAAATAAAGTTTTTTTTTCATAACATTGAAAAAAATTGATAAAATAAAAAAAATTTTAAAAAAAGTGAAAATAGCAAAATATGTAAAACAGTAATATGTAAAAAATATGCAATGAAAAAATGTTCATATCATTGTTGTGTTAGGGCAGCAACAATTCGCCAAGATTAAAATATTTAGATCGGTAAGTAGAAAGACAAAAAAGTAATTACATAAAAGTCTGGTCTCTACTCAAAGTTCCTCTATAACTTGAAAGAATTGTGAGAAATTGAGCTCGCAAATGCAAAAGCATTTTCAGAAACACTCAAACGTTAGTTTATTAAAATTTTTCAATGAAAATGTCCATGTATGGCGAGATTCTTTTACATTTCTAAAGTATTGTTAATGTCATGATTCATCATTACAGAACTGAAAAATTGAAAAAAAATATCTTTAGGTGGCAATGGATGGCAGCTGGGAAAAGGGTGGAGTAAAACTGAAAATATATTCCAGAGCAAAGAAATAAAGGAACAAACTAGTTCCAGAAAGTTTGTGCCATTCACCACAATTCCAGTGTTGCATCGGATTTGGACAGCCCCGGGCCTCCTCCTCACAAGGTCAGTAAAATAAGCAAAACAAAGATTTTAAAAAATTGGATTTTAACTCAAAATTTGTCCCTTTTTGTTGCTAATTTGTCACGCAAAAAATCGTTGTTCTTCATTTGACCCTGCTTTAAACAATCGGCTAACTGGACACCAAGTTAGCATCGCAATTACTAGTAAACCAAGAAATTACAGAGATAAATAAAAAAATAATTACATGGGTATCTCTCACTTTTTGTTACACAGTAGTACACGAAAATAAATTTTGTTGCTCTTCAGATACCACTCAATATGGGAAATGTGAAATTTGCCCTCTCCTGCTGCAGGGGAGAGGGGAAGGAACTCCTGTCCGTCGCATATAGGTTCCACGGAACAACACATTAAATCAGACGCGCAGAATTACGATTTTCGGCCTCACATAAAAATATGAAGTTTCACAATTATTATAATTGTAGGAGAATCAGAAGATTTGAAGTTTCGATAACAGTTTCATGAATTTTTAAAAAGGACGAGCATATACATTTTACTTCCGCTTTTCTCCAATAACTCGTGCATATTGTTCCGACGTAGCCCTTTTATTGTGTTCCTTTCAAACATTTCATTTAACTGCGCGTCCAGCCGCTGCGAAGGATTGCGCCTTGCAGGTGCTAAGAAGGGTTTCCTACAGTTGTTGCTTTACTGGAGCGGGCGCCAACAAATAGGCGAAATGGCTCCGAACGAATCTCCATGTTCGAAAATTTTTTTGATATCCGCAGTCTTACGTGCACATACGTGAGGCGGTGATAATGTAATGGTTAGCGTATAGGACTGTTAAACCAAAGTTGGCGGGTTCAATCCGATCGACGCCGTGGATTTTAAGGTTGAAAAAATCCTTCTTACGCCTTACTTCGGAGGGGAAGGGAAGCCGGCTGTCCCACGTTACTAGATTTACTTGCATGTAAAAGATCCCCACGCCTAAATGATGCCTCAGAGCTAAATTCAAATCGTCTGTTTCGTCGCCCACGAAATACCTCCTTTCTCCGCTAGTTGGTGAAAGGATCGTAGCGAAATTTGCGTGGTCAGACGGCCCGAGTCTTGCCAAGTAAAGTAAGGCATTAATTCAATTCATACTGCCTTTGTTAAAAAGTCCCAGAATTATATCATCGCAACCTCTCCGAGATTCGAACTAGGAGGGTAGCAAAGACATTTATTTATTTACATAAAAAAAAGTTAAAAACTACGAGGTTACTACGAGGAGAAGGCCAAACTTGAGGGACTTAATTTGAAGTTACATTTATGACCACAAGTAACACAAGGGGCCATCTCAGCATTTGTTCAAGGATCAGGGAAATTAGACGAAAACCTGATCGAGAAACTTGACCCGGAAGCTGATGTACAATAATTGTTACAGGTTCTTCACAATTATTCATTCAAAATGGTAAATAATTCTCTAAATGTCGTTAAAATTAATATTACTTTCCTTTTTGATGCTCAATATAGCCTCCAGTTGTGAAGCAGAAAAGATTTTACTTGGGACTTTTGTATCGAATTTAATCGTTTAATGTCAACTGGTAATGTGTTGTAAAATAATCTACAGGTATTGTATGTGAATTGTTTGTAGTGCGCTGTTGATACTGGTACGCGGATTGTAAATGTAAACACCATATGCATTTAATTTCAAAATTATAACATCGCCATAATCCATGTGGTTTAGGAATCACGAACGGGGGGAATAATTTGATTCGACATTGAAATTGCGCTATTTTACCACTTTCTCAAATTTGTCCTAAAGTACGAAAACATTTTTAAAATTAGCTTCATCTATTTTACTTGGGAAAAGAGAATCACAAAATGAATTCTATCAAGGAGACAAACGTCATTTAGAGATAAAAATCGAGTTGTAGGATAAAAGAGCACGTGCGTAATATGTGGTCATTCTTTCCCGTAGTGGCATGATAACGGAAGATATTAAAAGTAAAATATAAGTAAAATAAGATGTGAGGAGATAGAATATTGGTGATATTAACACAATTGGTTCAATTTTCTTTTTGAAATCAGTTCCAAATCGGAATCGACAATGCCTCAATTTTATGACGGTATTCGAAGGACGACAGAAATTTGTGAACAATATAAATAATTTTATACTACTATTACAGCTGCTACGAGACCATTTCCTTCTGTTACAGCATCACTAGTTTGATATTTGGGGGAAACATACTGAGATGCAAATAGACGAAGGCATAAACCGCCTGCCTGGCTTGCCTGCCCCGCAAGTTCGGCCTCAGCGGGAGGTTGACGCAACGGGTGGAAATGAGAGCGGGGCGGTGTTTTCCCAAATTTCACTTCACGACACTCCTATTCATCCGATTTGCATGATTGACACTGCGTTGGATTCAGGAAGCATTGCGCTATAAGCCCAAGTTTTTTTAAATTTTTCCTCGGATGTTCAAGCACCAATTACTAATTTGACTTTTTGCTCTTTTTTGTTTGTTTGTTTGTTTGTTTGAAAAAGGGCTTCGTAGCGTAAATTCTTTTTTAAACAGGCTTCAAATGCTGTTTTCAGATCGAAAATCCGACCACTGGTTCAGACTGTATCGGTAAAGTAAATTCCGCAGTGCCAGTACCAGTCTATTGAATTTTCCTCCAAGTATTTTTCGGTACATTTAGCCTTAATTTAGGAAGCTTTGCTGGTGCCTGGGTGAGTAAAATGTTCCTCAGATGCTCAATTGTGGGGAAACCAACAGCAAGCTGACAGGGCTCTCAGACAACACGCTCTGAAGGAGTATGCTTGAGTAAAGGGCAAGATTAGAAATGGTTGTAGTAAAGTAGTCACTTAGTATTCATATCAGACCAGTGATTGAACGTGGATTCTAAAAAAGTAAAAAGATAACAGATACTTAGCACTGCTCCTTTACAGAGAAAGGGAGCTTTCCGTTTCCTTGAAACAAAAAAAAAAAAGTGGTGTAGCTCTATGAAACCTATTCCACATGGGATGTTGGACCTCCACGGGATGTTTTGTAAATTTTTGGATCACAGGATTTGTTAGGTTGTGTGCTCGTTTTAAAGAATGAAACGAAACCTTTAAAGTAATTTTACGTAGTTTTATGAAAATTATCAAACAGTATCATAAACAAAAAATTTCCCCTTCCCCTAGAATTTGTCTGGAACTGTTTTGCACATTGTTGAAAATTCAATACATGACTAACAAAACAAACATTACATTACTTTTTTGCTCATAAGCATATTTTGGCAACACCTTAAGTTCAATACTTTAAATAACTTAGATATTTGTACCAGTCAGGTTGAATGAGAACTAAAATTTCACACTGAGTAACAACATTCAAAATTACCAACAAAGGCAACTTACCAATAAATGGCAATCTTTTCCCAAATTTTATTCAGATATTTGTGAGTTAATTCCTGCCCTCTTTCAATGCAACCATCTGACAGCTGATTATTCCCGATGTCGTCTGAGAAAGACGAGGCAAAAAGACTTAGACAATCATCAGTATCAATCTTAGAATCAGTAATGCTGCTGCTGCCGCCATTTTCTCTACTATCAATACCAGAGCCTGTACTTCTGGCGAGCTGTTCACCTTTGGACAAAACACTTGCAGCATCAGAATCGTCAAGTTGAATAGTAGATGGAGAAACATTGCTAAGGTTACTGTCAACCTTGTCCATGTGAACAAAAGGACTTTTAGCTTGGGTAGAGAGAGACAATTTTGTATGTTCTTTCTTCAATGAGGACTGCAATTCCTGCATTAAAAAATTAAAAAATAACATTCCACTACTTACCAAGAAACCAAGCAAAATATAAAAAGAAAAATATTTTCTTACGTTTAATGTTTTTAAAGCATTATCAACATATTGTTTATAAGAGAGAGAAGACACTAAATGCATTAAGGCTGTGCTAGTCTTCACCAAACTCTCCACACTCTCTAAAGTAGTTTCATACACTTCATTGTTCACAAACGTTCGTATTTTTTCAATCAATTCTCGAGCTGCTGAAGGTAACACAAGACGAAAAACTGCCACCCAATGTTTCAATAGACAGAAAAGTATATCATTTAAGGTCCATGGTGGTTTTCTAACAACTATTTCTGACCATTTTCTATCATACACCAATACCATTTCTGTTCTCAGCAACTATCAAAACAAAACAAAAATTGGATTAATCACAGATGTTACGTGTTCTTCACACTAGATTTTCTGCCAAAACTTCGAGAAATTTACCTCTTCAAGAACTACTCCAACACATTGTTTAATAGTTTGTACAGTTGAGTGAAAAGGAAGTTTGGTGTCATCCAAAATGCTACAAGATGACGTAGATGGTGAAGACAACTTGCGACGACTTTCCAATTCTTGTGTTAACTTAGGGGCAGAACAACATTCTACTCCATTTACGACTGCTTTGTTGAATAAATTGCGGTCATTGGTTAATAATAACTGTCCGAAGAAAGAAATTTTATGTTGAGAATGGACTTGAAAATTAAATTTAAATATCAATTACAAATTTTGTTTCAAGTATACCCATAGCATTTGCCTAAAAAACTATAGTAATATTATTAATATTATATAAAAAAACGTTTAATAGATAAAAATAAAGATTGGACAACATATCTATCTATCATGTCCACGCTCTTCCTATTCATATAACATTAATTTGCACATACATGATGTGAGAAAGGAAATAATCGTCCACAACAATTACTGTTATAATATTTATAAATTACAACATTCCCAAAGTCAATTTTTGGGAAAAACACTGTTCCCATCTTCAGTGGGTCTCTAGCAAGGAGAAGGAAAATTGAGAAATTAACATGAAGCAAAATGAAATATAGCAAAATATGCGATGACAATTAACAAATGAAATGAAAAATCTATGTAGTACATAAAACAAAGTTGTGTACAAGAATATTTGTAACTCAAGAACTGCTGGACAAATTTTAATTACCTATGATTTGTTGGATTCATCTCCACCCGGAAGAGCAGAATAACAATTGAAATTTCGAGAAAATTCACAAAAAACAATACTGCTGCACGAGGTCAACCAGGTCGTAATAGCGCTGATAGAACGGAAAGGGGACGGTGGGGCGGCGCCATTGCACAGCGTCGATGATTGAACTGAGAAATAGTTGAATTCTATCGGAACGTGAGTGGCGAAGGAACGGACAGATGTGGATAAGTAGCGTTTGGTGATCAGAAAACCGATGAATGTGATTCACGCGATGATAATCAAAGGAAAATTCGAAGGTGAGGAAGTTCTCATTCTGAGGATTGAGATGATCCCAAACGATATACCCTTTGAGTTTACTCGAATTCACTTTCCGATTCGTCTTGCATGACGATTCACAAATCTCGAGGGCGATGTTGGTGGTCTGAATCTCGAAAATACATGTTTTTTTTCTTCTCATCGTCAATTGTACGTGACATGTTCACGTGTCGGCAAACCATCAGCTTTATTTGTTCTAGCGCCTGATAACAAAACGAAAAATCTGTTATCACAAGGTGCTTCACTGAAGAGAATCAACCCGACTGTAAACCATACAGCAAAATACATAGCTTCAATAAAGCAAATGTCTTGCTAACACGCCATTTAAATGCTTGATTTTTGTACTTTCATTGAATTTTTATTTTTATATATGGTATCTATACCTATAAATGAAACAAAGTCGGGTGAGTTACTGCGTTTATAATTCAAGAAAGGCTTAACCAATTGGCAGAATAACTATTAAATTAAATTAATGAAAAAAATCATTAGATGGCGCTGTAGTACAAAACTAAATAATCATGTCAAATGCAACCCGTAACACTCTCATGGTTTTTTGAATCTATATCGTTAAATCTCCTACATGAAGCGTTCTATATTAAAAACTAAAATGTGGATGTCAATGGTTTACAAATGTGTTTTTCACACCATAATCCACAGAATGAGATTTTTTGAACATTCTACGAAGGGCGTACTACATTGTTTCACACTATTTTTTTCTATCCAAATGAAGTACAATACACATCAGTTTCGTCTTCCTTCTGAACATAATTTCCTTGCAACCGTATGCACTTTTGCTATCGATGTGTCAGTCTCTTCAGACCTGCTTGAAGCTATTCCTTCTGAGTGCTGCGTAACCATATCTTGGATAGCTGTGAACACTTCTTGGAGGCTTCATGTCCCCGAACAAGCGAAAATCACTTTATTCCAAATGGGGAGAGTATGGTGGGTGTGATCTCATTGATCAATGGCAGCAGTAGTCTCTCGACTGGTGCGGGTGCGGCCATTTTCATGTTGCAGAGGCATACCTTTAGCTCATTTTCCTGGCCGCTAAGTTTGAATGGTACGACGTATGTTCTTAAGGTTTGCCTCATATGCTGCACTGTTAATCGTGGCTTTAAATTTTAGCCAGTCAACGAGGATGATGCCCTTTGCGTCCCAAGCGCTTGCCAACTGATGGCACTGTTCGACATTTCTTTGGCGATAGACTGCCTCTATGCTTCCGTTGCATCGATTGTCCTTTCGTTCGTGACTCATGGTAACGGAGGTTTTTCTCGTCACCAGTCACAAGCCTAGCCATGAAGTCTGCTGGATCTTGATCATGGCGTTGCAAAAGTTCTCTGCAGACAAGTCTAGGCACCCACCTGGTGACACCTTCCCCAACTGTAAGTGGCCGTGCTCGAACATCTGCAGGATGTTTCGGCTAATTCTCGTGTTTGCCTCCATTTTCGTAAATGTGATGCATATGTTTCGTTGGATGGCCTGCCTATTCGACCGGGCAATGTTGGCTCGTGTTGCCACCGTCACATTCCTTCCAGTACTGGTTCTCTTGTCAACCGATGAACGCCCTGCTTTCCTACCTTCCGCGACGGCGCGTGTTCCCCGCAGACTGCCGCCGAGCGCCGATGAATTCTGCACTGGTCTAGCTTTCTTTCCATAGGAACCGAGTAGTATAGAGCTGTCCCTGACGGTTGCTTTCCATGTCGTCTGCTCCTACGCTGATAGTGTTGTTATGAAATGGCTATGACGAGTGCATTCGTTGCTCTCTGTGCATGAGCTGCTACCAAACGGTTACACGTCACCACCTTCAGAAGTGAAATTAGAACCACTCCCGGAAGTACCAAAAATAAAATGTCAAACAATAAAGTAGTACGCCCCTCTCATACACTTTTGCTGCGGGGAGAGGTGGTAGGGTGGAGGCGGAGACAAACAGAGATGAAGGGGAGGACAACGTCTGCTGGGTTCCGCTACATGAAATTAAAAATTACTTACTGCCCAAACAACGTGGATCACCTTCAAACAATCACAACACAGTAGGATGATATGATATGATATATAACACATACATAAACGTACTGGGGACGGCTAGGTGACAGCCATCTCGTGTTAATGCAGTCATCATGTTAATTTCTCAATTTTCCTTCTCCTTGGGAGACGCATTGAAGATGGGAAAAGTTTTTTCCTGAAAGTTGACTTTAGGAATGCTATAATTAATGAGTATTACAATTGTAATTGTTGTGGACGATTATTTCCTACCTCACATTACGGATTACATGATATCTGCTACCACCACGGAATTTATTTGCAGATGCAAACAAGAATTTGAAATACTGAATGAAAATATATACTATGGATCATTAGAAATATAAGCAAAATTAGTTTACCAAAATTATCAATCATTATACTTACAACTTTACTGGAATATTTTTGCAAATTAATGGAGCACTGCAGAATACTGTCATCGGGTTCCAAAGCATCATACTCATCAGCTTCAGCTTTAGGCTGCCCTAAAAGGATGAATGCATTCTTAATTGATGGTGTAAGAATAATAATTGGACATGCCGCACATTCTAACAGACATCATACCTCCTACTCGAGGATGTTTATTCACTAGATTTTCATAGATAAAATTAATCGCTCTTCTAGCATAACTTTGCAAGGACACTTTTTTTTGTGTAGATTTTAAATGGTCTAATTCCTGAAGGACAACCCACGGTATAAATAAAGTAGGCATTCCCAGCTCTGCATCCTTCATATCACGCAATCCACGCACGAAGGTCAAATGGCTTAATAGCACATTCGTGTCCAAAACAACAAACCACTGCGATGTGACCACTGCGATGTCAATATCCATATTGCACAGATTCACTAGTTCAGGGTTAACAGCGTTTTGAAAACCACCTTCTTTTCTTAGTGCTTCAACCTGCACAGGAAAATAATATATAATTATGTTACTAACTTCAGAATTTATTTATAATATTTGAAACTTACATTCTATACTCACCTGCTTAACTACTTTCTCAGGTTCAATAGGTTCCCAATCCATCTCCTCCTCCTCCTCCTTGATAAGTTTAATAGTGTGTCCTGTTTTGCTACTTTGATCTTTCTGCTGGGGGGATGATTCCAATATATTTTTAATACTTTCAGAAGACCAGTGTATTAATTTTGGAGCAGCAGATCTAACTTGCTTTTGAACTCTCCTGTTTATCTTTGTAATCCCACCTTTTGAATCATGGGATTTCTGTTTGAGCATTTTTTGAAGTAATGTTTTGCTACTTTGAGAGTTGTGAGAGTTTTTGTTTTGTCCAGGTGTTTCTGAACGAATATTATCATAAGATACTTGATAATCTACTTCTAAACCAATTTTAGTATTAGTTTCACCTTTCACTGTCTTTTCAAGCTCAGAATCAAACCTGTCTCTCATTGAAGAAAGGTGAGTCATCTTTTTCGGTAATGATAGCCTTTCAAAATTTATTCCTGATCTTTCTGGGTAACCGGAAAACGAAGGATCTAATCGGGAAGATTTTTTGGATAAAGTTGAACTCGCTGAAGGCATACTACTACTTTCTTTTGTTACTTTTTCTTCACTTGCTGATATCATTTTAACCTTAAACCTAGGCAGGCATTTCTCAGAGGAATCTCTACCAGCATTACGTTGGTCACTAACATTAATACTTTTGTGATTGTAATCTCTAACAAATCCCCGGGAGCTCCATTCCCAGGCACTGAGAACAACTTCGTTTGCTTCCCAATCTGCCTCGGCATCTTTAGCACGGTTCCTCAAAGCTGAAGAATAGCTCGGAAGCACTTCATAGGTTGGCTTTTGTTGATGACTGCCATTTAGAGAGTCTGTTGTTACATCCCTTGAAGATTCACAGTTGTACTTTTTCCCTGAAAGAAAATAATCTTATATATTTTGCCTTTTATTTAATTTAGGTGGAAAAGCTGAAGGTTAAATTTAAACTAACCACTGAAAAGTGCATCTGACGTAGAAGTAAAAGGTCCTATCTCAGAATTAAATTTAGGTAAAATAAAATAGTCTCCACGATGTTGATTGCTTAAAGAATTAACTTCAAGAGGTTTGTAATTTCTCAATCGATCCATGGCTGGAGTTTTGGAAACATTAATACTTGGAAAGTTTCTTCCATGTTCCAAAGAACTGATCCTATCTTTAACTAATCCTGTTTTATTATATGGCTCACAAGGCAATACTTCACTATATTTTACTAATTGATTGACAGGTTTTGTTCTCGGCAGAACACTTATTTCCATATTGGGGAAAAATTTTTTCTCTGACTCCGATAAGTAATATTTATTTGTATCACTAAAGGTTCTTTTGAACTCATTATCCGGAAAAGAATACTTCTGCAGTATGTTGCACGTGGACATTGGAGGAGAACCACTTCGAATGCAGGAATTTGAAAAAGGGGTTTTATCACAATTTGGAAGACTGTAATTTCCTGACAACGCAGATTTACTATATGGTTTAACTGCATGCAATGAAGTTTGCGTTTTTAACTGATCATTAGGAGTAGCACTTGGAATATATTCTGAATACCTCTGTCGATGAAGGAAATTGTCATTATACTCTTTGGAGTAATAATAATCCCGATTAAGACAGGGTTTTATATATTCCTTAGGCAAATAACGATTTGTTAAGGGCCCTGATGGAACCTGAGAATAGCTTCTAGAGGGAAAGCTATCTAGCCTAGCTCTAAGTGGTTCATTCCCCAAGCCTGAACAATAATTTGGTCTCATGTTTGAAGAGGAGGAATATGAAGGAACTTCAGGGTGCCTAATTTCTTCAACTAGTCTATTCCTTCGATTTAAGAGGCCAGTTTGCCATTCCTTTTCTGAACTATTTTCAGCCCAGTCTGCAAAAGTAAAACCTGTTTTCAATTAATTCACAATTAAACATTTTAAAACAGAATACTGTCTCTACAGCAACGTACCTGATTGAGGACGCTGGCATTTTTTGTGGCGATCCTCACGAAGTTGCTTCTTAAGAAGTTCCATTCTCAAAGATGCAACTCCATACACAACAGGGGCATCTGGTACTTTGCCTCTCCTAGGCATCGTTTCGCTTCTCTCCCTGGTAATGGTTGGCTTCGGAAAATCTCTCTTATGCTGTCCCCAAGTTCTCTCACTTGCAACTTTCTCTGTACGTTGTTCAGAATGTGGGATTTTCTGACTAGCCACACTTGAGTCATATGACTTCTTATCTGAACTTTGCAACCTTTCTTCACTTTTAGCTTTTTGAATTATATCTTCCCCATCATTTGATTTAGATATCTTAGAAACTGAATGGCGCACATCACTTTTCAAATCCACTTCTGGTTTAGATTTAGCTTCATTAACATCCTTTGTTAGCTTTTGTTTAACTTCAATACACTTTTTTGACAAAGATAAAAGTTCGCTTATTTGACTTCTGTTCCTCTGAAGGATAATTTTACTTCTTTTTTCTCTTCCTCCCTTCAGTTGAACTTTCTGGATAGAGAGATAACCAATATTTTCATTAATAAATTGTCACATTAACACAAAAGATCATTTTAATTCCTTTTATTCAGCCATAAATTAAAATATTAAAATATTAACAAATTAAATTTAAAATATAAATAAACTAAAAACTAAGATATATAAATTGTTAGAATAGAAATATTTTTTGTTCACGATTGGTATACTGATTTTGCCTATCACAAAGAAAATATTAAAAACTGATCTACAGTATATGCTGGAATCCCATTAAACTGACGCATTAGTCTCTGGGCACATTAGTCATCCCCGATGGAGAGTGTACGGCTTATTGTCAGTAATTTTCTTGCATTCGTTCATTCAAAAAATTGTCCTCCATATTATAGTTAGGTGCAGTCTACATCACCAACTAATTTTGATTTTAGCTATTTTTTTCATTTAGTGAATTAAATAACCTTAATTCAATAAATCGTTGATTATCACTAAATTAATTGCATGTGTGCAATGGGAATTCCACCTTACAATTAAAACTCCACATCTACCAATCAGAATGCAGAAAAAGGATCAAATGATTATAATTCAGGTTTAAGGGCGCTTCAACAACTAAGGTCATTGGCGCCCGTGTCAATTTTTTAAAGAGAGCAATACGCACTGTAGCAGTGCCAGACTAAAACATTTTGCAGGGTGCAATGGAAATAAAACTGAAAGAAAATAAACGTGTTCAATCATTTAAAAAAAGAGGTTTGCAGAAAAGAGCCAGATAAATAGTTTAAAATTTCCAATTATAAGCCAAATAATTGGCATAATCCTCTTCTCTCAGATAAAGCTGTTAATGTCAGACTCTCGTAAGAAGGAAAAAAGCTCGCAGAGAGAAGATTCGTGATTTCCAAATACCTGTGTTACAGAGCTACCAATGTGTAGACTTCGCCGGCGACCTCGCCTTAGAACAGTGCAGTGCAGAGTGACGGTAAGATCCGTCTCGCAACTATCGCAAGTAGGTTGTGGGTCACCGCGGAGTAGTTGTCGTTGGGAGAAATGACAAGTGGCCGATCCGGAGGCGTGTCACAATTCTTTCCTAGCGCATTGACCCACGAGATGAAGACCAAGGCTTTATGAAGTCCTTTATTCTTGTGAGTTCTGCCACTCTGTTTGCCATGCACTGAGAATTATGTGATGAACAGCTTGGTATCGTTTGTTGGAACTGTGAGGTCGTCCACCTCAATTTTCTTTGTGGCAAGCTTTGCTGCCTGGTCTGCAAATTGCGATCCCTATTATCCCAACGTGAACCAACCAAACAAAAACATAACGACGAACCAGTAAATTAAGAATTTGGTGTTGGATGATTGTCAGAGGGTCACAATAAGAGAAGCAGGTGAGAGATCCGAGCGAACGTTTTGAACCACAGCTTCTTTCATGTCATCGATTCAGCGTGCCTCCAAGGGCGCATATTTGTTAAGTATATGCGCTGCACGTAGACTCTAATCGAAAACTCCGCATGTCACTGTGGCAGTAGAAGGCACACCCTACATTACCATTCTGGGAAGAACCATCTGTGTTTATAAACGTATAGTCGCGATACATGGATTTCGTCTCCTGGAATTCCGCCAGAAATGTACTGGGGGGAGTGGAGGATTTGGGGAAGTGTGATAATCTCAGGTCTATTCTAGGCCGGAGAAGTTTCCAAAGGTGAACAAGATTTCGGGGGGGAGGGGGGTCACAGGGATAGGAATTTTATATCTAGTTTCTACAAGAGCGTTATCTCGCCTTCAGCGCAGGGATGGTTCACCAACCTCTGCCAAGAAGAATTGAATGCTACTCGTGCGGTAGGCGCCTGTGCTGATTCGTATAACGGCATTGTGTATAGAATTTAATGACCGGAGGGTCGATGGAGACGTTGACCCATAAACAACACACCCATAATCTAAGATAGGACGGATGATAGTCCTATATAAGCCAAAAGACAATCTATCTGCGCCCCATGATCTACCAGTAAGGTTGCGAAGGAGGTTCAATGGTGATATACAGTGTCTCTTCAAGGTTTGAATTTGAATGTGCTTTCGCCATGTTAAACTCTTATCGAATATCAGGCCAAGGAAAGTGGCAGATTCAACGAAGGGAAGTTGATGACACCCCCTCCCCCCAAAAAATCAGGATGATTATGGAGGTGATCTATTCTACAGAAGTGCATGCAACTGGATTTTGAGATGGAGAACTTGAATCCAGCTTTATCGCTCCATTCTTCCAATTTGATGAGGACAAGCTGTACCTGCCTCTCAACTTGCATGCTCTTCGAGGAGTAGAATATGGCATAGTCATCAACGAAGAGCGATGTTTTCACCGGCTCTCGAATTACTGATGCAATACCGTTGATAGCAATTAATCCCTGGGGGACACCGTTTTCTAACTGGTGGCTTGAGGATAACGCGTCACCAAGTTGATCGCGGAAAGTCCTTGACGTAAGAAAATCTACTAGAAACGTAGGGAGCCGTCCCCTAAGGCCCCAACACTGCAAGGTGCGAAGAATGCCGTGTCCTACGCTTTGTCTATGTCGAAAAAATTGCTACCATGTGATGCCGTAGCACGAAGTGGAGATCTAGAGTGGCAAGGGAGACTAAGTGGTCCATGGTTGACCTGTGATTCCTGAAACCACACTGGAAAGATATAAATAGATTACATTGCTCCAACATCCAGTCCAGACGTTTGTTTACTATTCGTTCTAAAAGCTAGCACGCTCAGCTTGTCAGGAATTAGGCGGTAATTTGAAGAGCTTGTTCTGTTCTGATCTTTCTTTAGGGATTGGAATAACAATGGCTTCACGTCAAATCCTTGGTAGGGAATGTTTATTCCAAATCAAGTTGCAAATGCGGAGGAGAAAACGAACGAGCTTTTCCCGGCAGGTGCTTAAGCATTTCGTTATGTATCTGGTCTGGTCCTGGAGCAGAATATTTTGTACAAGCGAGGGCACAGAAAATTTCATCCATGGAGAGGAGAGCATTGTAATCTTCCACCACGCGACTCGAGAAATCTAGTCTACAGTTCTCCATTCTTTTGTTCTCCAGAAACCTAGGACAGTAGAGTACGGAGCTGAAGATATGCTCATAGTGAGAGGCTAATTCTTCAACTGTATTTGCTATGTGAGAAGATTTCCATTTACCAGAAGCCGTAACACAGACGGCGATGTAAGCCTTCCTCCGATCTGACGAACCTTTCGCCACAGTACTTGGGGGGGGGTTCGGCAAGAGAGTGATGAAATTATGAGGCTCTCCAGGACGCGGCGTTACTTTCCCGTGCGGTCAACCTAGCTCTGGCTCGTGATATTTTATGATTTATTAGATTATGGTTGGGAACCTACCTAGCTATGCGAATGCCCGTTTCTGATTACGCACCGCGCTAGCACAGCCGCCGTTCCACCAAGGCACGGCGGGATGTCGTGGGTGGCCCGATAACGTCAGTAAAATGGGCAACTATTGCATCGATATCGCTTGGGCTAGTTTCCGATTTCCGTATTTCTTTCTCGAATTTTTCCCACTCAGTGGATTAGCTAGCGAGATCGAACGTTTGGGTCGGGAATATCGAAATTGACCAGGATGGGGAAGTGGTCACTGCCCTGCAGGTCGCCAAGGACAGTCCGCTCAAAGATGGTAGAGAGTGAGGGATTACAGAGAGCCAGATCGATGGACGAGAAAGTGATTGAAGCATCTGAAAAATGTGTGCTTTCGCCAGTATTCAGAAGAATTAAGTTATTAAGAATTAGGGTGCCAATAATATTTTCAAGTATAATGCCTCTCGAACAGGTCCAAGTTCCTCTTGTGACACGATTTGAACAGGCGGGATATAGCCGTTGCAAATAGTTATCGATATAGTGCGGACGTTCACACGAACGCAAGATGTCTGAAGAGTGGTTCGTACGTCTATTTCTTTGGACACCAGGGAGTCCAGACAAATGGAACGACTCCGCGATGTGCCTGGAGGCCATCATCAATGTCTTCCCTATAGCAGCAAAAGCCACGAAGAGAGAGGGAATGCTCAGGAAGATGTGTTAATTATCAACTTCTAAACGTGTGCGAAAGCCATTTAGAATCCATGAAAGGAGAGCCACTACTTTTAGAAGTTTCTTTGCGTCTAAGGGGATTTTTTTCTACCCCTTTTTTTGCTTTTGCCTCTGTTGAACGAAGGGCGCCTGTCCACCCCGGCTGTAGTTGCCTCCGAAGCAGATTCCTCTTGAGCACTGCTCGACGGTCTAAGATTCTCAAGAGCCAGGGGAAAGTGGTCGGAGTTAGGAGGAACGATCTTATTTAAGTTTGTCTGGTCCACAAGGCCGAGTGACATCGACCTTTATACGGGGCTGAGAAGTGGATTCTAGATACGACTTCGCCTGTGTGGGTTTCTTCGACAATGTGTATTTGGAAGAAATTATTATCTTCCCACCTTGCAGAGGCGATGTCTTCGCAGGGAAGTCTACTGGAGACACCTGGTAACAGAAAAGAGCAACTGAGGGAGTAGCAGGTGAAGTCTGACAACTCGCTGTTGCTTTTGCCGTCTAGGCCAGAGTCCTGGAAAATGAACGCCCGATATCTACAAGATTTTTCACTAAGTATCGGCGTCTGGCTTCGGGAAAAGATACCTTCTCCGTCACTCTGATCTTTTGGATATCCCTCTCCCTCAGATATATAGGGAACCTGTTCGAGTTGGCCGCATAGTCTCCTTCGCAATTAACACAGCGAAGTGGGGAGGCAGGAATCCGCATCATGCGTGGATTTGTCACACTTTGCGCAAACAGGGCTTGCAGCCATGCACCGTTTAAGGGTATCTGGTTGGGGCGAACCTCTGACACAAGTAACGCAGGGGGGTTGGCACATACTGCCGCACGTAGAGATTACAAAACCCACAACTAATCCTCTCTGAGAGAGAGGGGAGATTAAACGTCAGGATCAGAGTGGGAGTAGGGATCTCTCTCCCATTCTCCTTCCTCTTGATCCTAAACACCTCCGTTACGTCCTGACTCTTGAAGAAAG